TTGCTCCTTATAATTCTAGATCTAATAAAAAATAACTAAATCATTGTGGTATCTGAGAATCTTTTAATTCACCCAGATAAATGAAAATGCTGAAAAAAGTTTCTCAACACAATGAATGTCTTTGAAAAAAGGAACTGTCCTATATATATGACGCTGGGCGTTAACCGGTTAAATTAAATCTATAAATCCCAGAATGAAAAAAAAGGAAATATACGATTTGAAATAAGTTAAAAAAATTAAATATAAATAATTCGGAATCTTTGATAGAATCGGCAGCCTTTTAAACCTGATTAAAATCTACAAATAATACTGATAAATATTATCATTATTTTCTTTCATTATCGATTACTTCAGATGTACTATGTTAAAATAAATCATGATAAATATATATAAGTCTATTAAACTTGATATATGAGCGTTTAGTGAAAGATTTAAATTTGTAAAACTGACAAATCACGATAAATAAAGAATTGATAGATCGAATTTTAAGTCTTTTCAAAACACTTTTTAATTAGTGAAGATTTGCCCTTCTCTGCTCTTAAAACTCATACTTGCTAAATTTTTTTAAGTGATAGTGATATCAAAATTGAAAAGGCAGTTTAAATTTTTTAAAGTTTAGGCAGTACTTGTAAACACCATATTCGGAACTGGATGCTGGATATCGGGGTTATCTCGGCGTTTGGCGCTAAGCGCCACTAACCGATTCTGTTTTGTCGTATTCTAGGACAGGGGTGGTGAACCTTCATGCACCAACCTGCCATTTTTTCTAAAATATATTTCAATGAGGTCATAGACGTGCCGACAAATAGTTTTGACTTCGTAATTATTGGGTAAATAATAATACTAAATTTTATCAACACAAAACTCTATTTACAACGAAAAAATGCAATTCTCAACTTTTACAATGTCCCAGTTATACGCGTAATTCAACTTTAAGTAACCTCAGTGTGACTTCTGTTGTTTCAGATTAAATGACAAATAACTTATATTAGGGTTATAAGATGTTAGTTTAAGCAGAACTGTTAATTTCTTTGCTAGTTATTTATTGCTCGCTTGTTTTTTTTTGTGGTTATTAATTGCTTTTTTGGCATTAATTGTTCTTTTTTTGTGAATTTTAATTGAATTGTTAATATAAGTAAACTTTGTAATCGGTGGCGCGCCCAAAATATTGTGTCACGTGCCATAAGTGGCACGCGGGCCACTGGTTCGCCATCCTTGTTCTAGGAGGTCCTAAATATCTCTGAAGTTGTAACAACAAATCAAGTCCTTAAAGAAGCAAATGTTTAGTTTTGAAGTGAAAATCATCTTTGGGATGGGGAGCTCCCCGTGAGTAGAAGACTTGAGTTTACCATATTCGGAACAACGCTGAAAGTTAATATATATCAAGACGGTAAAGAGTAAAAACTGGTACCAAATAAGTTTCATTTTTCGCTTTTTTTTGTGAATAATAAAGTATCCATAACTACCCAATTTTTTTTAACGGACGCAATTTAGATATTGAATTGCTTCTTCCCCAAGAATAAATTAATAGTAATGAATTGTTTATTGTTAAGAATAGATTTACTCCTCCCGAAAATTATCTATTATTGAAATTGTTTTACTACCAGTGTTCTCTTTTCTCCGTTACATCAGAACTACAAGCTAACTGCAAAATATTTATAGAGTGGTGGACAATTAAAAACTATAGCTTTCAGAATTTTAGGTAATTTTGCCATTTTATAAGCTTCTCCCCGCGGGAATTAGGAATAAAGGGGATTTTCCTATGAACTTTTGAATCATTTACATGTAGTGGTGCAGAAAAAAAAGACTTTAAATAAAATTTACAAAACAAGGTATCATACATAAATTTGGTAATCATTCGAAGAAATTCCCCCCAAAATGTATAAAGTTGGCAACCCTGCATCGTACTATATCATGTAATTGTATATAACGCTTAACTTATTCACATGTATCAATGGTTAAAATTATTCAAAATTAAATTTTTAAATTCCAGAATACAATAAAAAAAGCATAAGTTTCACGGTCACTTTAAAAATTAAATTAAAATTTCTGGAAGAATCGATAGTTTTTTCAAACTTGAGTAAAATCTACAATCCATAAAATTCTGATAGATTGTCATTATTTTCTTCATTATCGATTCTTATATAGATTAATTATATCAACTACTATTTTTTTCTTTATAGATTACTATCTCAATAAATCTCATGATAAATATACATAAGTCTGTAAACTTATTTGATTAATGAACGTTCAGTGAAAGGTTGAAATTTGAAAGAATTACAGATCATTGCAAATTAAGGATTTATTGATCTAATTATAAATCTTTTCAAATCTCTTGTTTCAAATAAATATACATAAGTCTGTAAACTTATTTGATTGTTCAGTGAAAGGTTGAAATTTGAAAGAATTACAGATCATTACAAATTAAGGATTTATTGATGTAATTATAAATCTTTTCAAATCCCTTATTTCAAATGTTTTAATTAACGAAAGTTTTGATGCTGATTGCTCGCAATGCTTTGTACTTTAAGTCGTAGGAAATTTGATGTATGAAAAATAGAAATTGATAATGATTCACTTGGTAAACACACATGCATACTTCGTTCAAGGGACAGCTAATAGTCTAAATATAGCGTGAACCGTATCAGGCGTCGCGTTCTCTGCGAGTCTCTTCTTTCTTTGCTAACACAGAGACTTGCCAGTAATTTTTTAGGTAATTTTTTTTTTGTCGAATGGCATCGCGAGTCAAGCTTTATTTAGCATAGCGATCTCAAAACGGTTTCTCCCGATCATTCTGACTACCTGGCGCTTAGGTGTAATGGGATTTCAACTGTCTGGAATTTTCAGAACAAGACTACAACGTGTTTAGAAATGACGTAGTTGAATAATTATTTAAATGTAATTATTTCTTAAAATAAATGGCACTTAAACTCCTGGCACAGTTTTGAAAGAAATTCTGAAGTACGTAAATTGCACACTTGACACAAAAACATGACATGCTCGAGAAATGTATTATTTAAAATTTTTTTTTAATCCAAGTGATGTCAAAATCTGAAATTGGGAGAATCAAAAACATAAAAGAAGATAACTAAATCTTGAATTAAATAAAAAAAAGTTCAGAACTATTTAGATAAGTATTATTTTTTTAAAATATATTTTTAGGTTTGTCAATTTTGAATAAATGGGAATACCAAATGATATTTTTTTTAAATTTTAAAATACAATTATAACAAATATTTAATGTAAACTTTTTATTGGAATTTCGTTACATTAAGAAAATTGGCAGCCTTTTTACAAATCATAGATAGATAATATTCTTCTCATGAAAAAATAAAATTAAAACAAATTAACTTATTTAAGTTGTTTTTAATGAAACAAGACTACCTTTCAGTACACCTAGTTCACCTTTTATTAATTCAAGATTGCTTAATTACTTAACATTGGTTAGTTACCTTTATTACTTAAAAATTGCTTAATTTGCAAGTGTAATAAACACTAAACTTTTTACGTGGAAGAATAAAAATTCATTGAGACCCTAATGCCTTTGCAATTAAAGAATTTAATGAAACAAGACTACCTTTCAGTACGCCTATTTTTATCCTTTATTACTAACCAAGTTGAAAATTGACACCTATTCTAATGCAATTAAATTATGCGACAAATAAATATGTTTCAATCGCTTAATCCATTTAAGACTACTGCTGTGAAAATGCAACTTTCAGTTTTGTCGTAAACATCACAGTTTTGGAAAGCCGGTAAGACATATGTTTAGACTCATATAAAATTCTCTAGCGTTGGCTATCACTTTAGTTTTAAAATAGAAGAATGCCATTTTATGAAATACAGAACAATGAACTTCAATATTAAAATGATAGAAAAAAACATCCGGGTAGAGTTTAGCTGTAAATCCTGAACCTTAGTAACGAAGAAATACCAAACAAGGGTTAATCTACTAATGAATTCCATACCTGCCAACTTTTTATCCTTTCCATTATCATTTTTCCCAGTGGTGCTAAAATGGAATTAAAACTTCAATTTTAAGCAAACAAACACGTTGTATTTGAGAAAACTTAATTTAACAACCATGATAGTAACGCATATTAATATATGTGCTTAATTTTTGTAAGAATAGTGGTGATCAAAATCATTTAAAAATTAAGTTTATAAAAGGAAAAATAGTATATGTTTACTACCACTTTAAATATAAAAATAAAATCTTCCGGAAAATCCGGAAGAGTTGGCAGGTCTGAATTACACATTCTAGCCAGGATTTGTCCTTGTTAATCTGGTTAATATAAATAATAGATTAAAAAATATACGAGTAGATTATGAAATTTATTAGCTTAAAGACCATTTTCCAGTATTTCTTGCATGAACATTTTCCTGAATACATTGTTAGTGTGATATTAATAGTCCCTCTCGCAAAAAAATCGCAGTAAGCACAATTTATGAAAAACACATGCTAGTTTTAGAAAATATATACTAATTTCGATAGCTATGATAAAAAATAATGAATAAAATAAAAATAATTAAACATTTGATCCAAGAGTAATAGTTTTGTTATAAGCTGAAGTTTTAAATACAAATGGTAATTAAATGGTATGGTTATTGTATACAGAATGTATTATACATGTGTATATTTTAATAAGGTAATAGAGTGTCTATCAGATACTACAGATGCTTTCTGAATACTTTGCGCAGATTACATTTTGAGAAAGATCGGTTCAGCATTGAACCACAATATCGTTGTACAATTGCAACGTTGCAAAATTGAACAATAACATCGTTCAAGTTTAGTACAACCTAAATAAGCTGTTAAATTAAACCGTGTTTCATTTCATGTACGACAGGAGTAATCAAGTTTAAGAAACACAATATTCTGGTTCAATTTTGCACCACATTGAAATTACAGGAAAATTGCATGATATTATGGTTCAGTATGCTCGGAAATGTTAACAGGTTATCCTACATCAACATAGTTATATCTGTTATATTTTCAGAGATGTCCGTCGAAGAATCCTATAGCAAGACGAGCATCTCTTCCAGCTCTGTTAGCAGCAAAATGGAATCTTCGATTAAAAGCAGCAGCATCACCTCATCTTCGATCGGTGGAACCGACTCCGGAATATCTTCGCTGGTTAGCAAGATTGATTCTGATTTAGCTATCATGGACGACGCACGAGACAGTTTATCAGGTACTTTTATTAATGTGTTGAAAGTTATTAAATACATTTTTTTAATGAAATCATGGGAAACAGGAATCAAATCAGAGCTCTAGGCAACCTTAGGTCAAAGCCTTTAATAAATTCGGTATAAGAACAATAACAGCATTTGGAAATTATGAGATTTGTGTTCATCAATGGCTTATACAAATCACAATATACTATAATAATAATAGATTTAGATTACATTACATAACTTAGAAATATCTTCACTGATTTGGTAACTTCATTGATTATCTTCACTGCAAGATTGATTTTGATTTAGCTATTATGGACAACGCACGAGACACTTCATCAGGTACTTTTATTAATGTGCTGAAAGTTATTAAATTAAAGAAATCTTTTTTTTATGAAACTATGGGAAATATAAATCAAATCAGAGCTCTGAGAAACCTTAGGTCAAAGCCTTTAATAAATTCGGTGTAAGAACAATAAAAGCATTTGGAAATGATGAGATTTGTATTCATCAATGGTTTATACAATTCACAATATACTATAATAATAGACTTAGATTACATTACATAACTTAGAAATATCTTCACTGATTTGGTAACTTCATTGATTATTTTTACTGCAAGATTGATTTTGATTTAGCTATTATGGACGACGTACGAGACACTTCATCAGGTACTTTTTTTATTGAGTTGATAGTAATTAAATCAAATATTTTTTTAATGAAACCATGGGAAACATAGATCTAATCAGAACTTCATGAAGAATTGGGTCAAAGTCCTTAAGAAATTTGGTGAAAGAGTAAACAAAGCTTTTGGAAATAGTGCTATTTATGTTCATCAATGATTTATACAAATCATAATTTACTATGATAATAGTAGACTTAGATTACATTACATAGTTTTGCTTCAGCTCACCATCATTAAAATCTACTGTTTGAAGTTGAAAGCTATGGTAATGGCTATTAAAAATAATCTGAACTATTTTAAAATACATATTATCAACATTTAGCATTGTTTAAATAAACGCGTTTAAGGAGCAAATTTTTGCTGCCTTTACCTTACCTAATTCGAGTGCGGAGATTTCAAATTTGAAAATAGTTTTGCTCGGAAAGGTACAAATTTCTTTCAAAATGTTATTTTTAGAATTTTTAGTTTGGCTCATTTGTTTCTTGTCTGAAAGTACAATTTAAAAAAAAAACGTATAGTTTTATATATATATACATTACTACTGTTACTTTGAAAATAACAATAACAGACAACAAAAAAAGAAGAAAATATGACTTTATGTACCCCATTATAAACAAAAGTTCATATTCTCCTTCTTTCTACCACTTCTTACGTAACAGAGAAGTCGGGACACTTAGTATTCACGCGAGTGATTTCCAAAAATCCTTGTTAGTGTATCATTAAATTACACAAAAACTGTTGCTTTCAGTGTTAAACCAATTACAGGTTAGAAATCAGAGATGCGGAAATAACTGTGCTCCGTACAAAAATCTCATTCAAGAGAAAACAGAACAAAAATAAAATTTTGATGTACCAGTATCATTCAAATAAATAAATGTACATGGTACACGAAAAGATAAGTCTTTAAGATAAATTTTAAGAATGAAATAATTGAGTGACCAATCTTTATAGCTATTAAAAAAGACATTTTAATTACTAAGTACATATAGTATTATTTAATATATTTTTTTAAAAAATTCACTCCAAATTTTTAAGAATATTTGTTCAAAATTAAAAATTTCTTTAAAATTGCAATACTAACACAGAACTATTATGTTGATTGTCATTGATATATTTATAAAATAATACTCTGTTATAATTTTAAAAGGAATATCTCGAACCGACATTTTAAAAAACGGACTAACATGATACTTAGGAAATTAATGGAACAATTTAAGTGAAATATTCAACACACAATCTCGTGTGAACTGGGAATAATTTTCTTTTTTCAGCTCAATTCCTTAGTTTTGTTTCTTATTTCGTAAAAAAAAAATATTGACTAAATACTTGTTTGCCAATCAATGAATGGTTTAATAAAAAATAAAATCAAGATTTTTTTTTATACATTCTATTGTTTTTAATTATGCATTCTAGAAAATATGAGAAAAGAATATTTTTTTACCCTTTCATTAGTAAAACATCTTTACACAAGAATAAGTAAAATTTCACGCTAAGGCAAATCTTAACATTTTACATCATTTAAGGAGCGTTTAGTTACAAAAACAAGACATCAATTTTAATTTTCTATCAACTTAAGTCTTTTTTTTTTTTGACGGTAACTCTGTAAGACTCGATACAATTTGAAAGCACTTATTCTTCGTGCATATTTATTTGCTCAAAACATAAGTTCTAGGAAAGTAATTCTGTTATGAATCTAATAATTTAAAAATAATCCTTGCTATTTTATGCTTGAAATGGTAGCTATGGGCTGTGGTAACCCAGTGGTTAGAGAATCGCACTCCGGTCCGGAGGGGCTGGAGATCGATCCTCGACTCCACCTATGCGATAGACGTGCCATACATGCAATAGACGTGCTCGTGAAATCTGCACAATTGAAAGTCCTGTGGTCTATCACTGAGCAGTACCATGGGCACAAGAATCGGGAGAAAATTTCCTATCCCTTCCGATCTATGTGGATCTTGAGGAAGTGATCTCACGAACGAGAATTGCTGCCATTCATCCATGGGGTTCTGACATAAAATGTACTTTCACCCATGCGGTGCTCTCTTGGTAAGCGAAAATCTCACCTTCCTGACTTAATTCGGTAATGCTTGGGGAGCTTGACTTGTTCAAGTGCCATTTGAAACAGCAACAATAACATGGTAGCTATGAGTGCAGAGCATTTTTCCTCAGTTTAAATTTACTTTAAAATGAATATCTTATTATTATGTACAAATTGGCTTTATAAACAACCCGCCCGATCGTGTAGGTTAGGTCTAAAAGGGAATCTTTGTTTTCCTAAATTTATGTAGTTCCAATTATGTAAATAGTCAAATGAATATTGCATTGAAATCTTAATTTCAGGTTTAAAAATGTCGTCAATGGAGAAGAGTTCTTCTCTTATGCAAAGTGAAGATAGTTTCTCTTCTAAAAAACTGGAGATGTCATCTTCTCTTGATGTTCAGGAGTCCAGCATCTCCATGTCTTCCACAAAAGAAGAAGTAAGCGTCTCCAAGAGCGAGATAAGCTCGGAGAAGAAGTCTATTGCCAAATCAGAATCCATTTCCTCAGAAATCAGCGAAGAAAAAGTGAGTTAGTTCACTTAAATTTTAATTTATAAAGTTTGAAAATGCAGCTAAGACACAGATCTGAGTAATTAGTTCGTTTGTCTTGTTGAGTTAAAAGTACTCTTACGTTGCCAGGCTATTTAAAATATCAGTAATTAGTAACCGAATTACTCTTGATAATGACTTCTCAATAAAAAAAAGCGCTATTTGCACTATAAGAGCTTAGGTGCCTATTATTACAATTATTTATTTCTGGCTTAAGTTACTGTGAAATTCTTTTTACACATTTTAAATCTCACATCCTGAAAATTACAAAACATATTATACTTAACAAAAAGAAAAAAAAGAGGGAAATATAAATAAATAAATCCATAGTAAAAGTATTCGAAAAACTATATATAATTAGCAATATCTTACAACAGCAAACAGAACTGATTTGAAATTACATAATATTAAGAAAAGTTTTCGTACCCAGAATATTATTTAAATCTTTGAAACACAAAATGGCGATGAGCTTACTGGATTAACCAGTTAACTGATGTTTTCAGAGAAGTTATAATCAGGGAAAGAGGGAAAAAAAAGAAGTAACCGAACTATTTTATCATAGATTTATTGGAAGATTAATAACCTATATGCCTTATTTTATGTATCCCTACGTTATTTGAAATAAAAAACACAGAAGAATACTCAAAACAAATGTGGATTTGCTATGACAAAATTAAAATGAATTTTATTTTTATTTTTATATTTAACATACCCGTATTGATGCAACCACTTTATGTTATTTTCCTTGATTTAAAAATACACATGAAACCGTCATTTACCTGATCTTCCACTAAGCTCTTCATTTAGTAATTGATATTCACGTTGTAGAATATAACTCGCTTGAATATAGCATGTCTTAGTTATTTTTGTTATTTCTTAGTTATTTTTTCTTTCAATAGTTTTAATTGCTTTTGTTTTAGACCCGCTTTTAAATATTGCTATGCATTTATGTTGTTTTTCCCCATATGAGATAGCATGCAACCTTTCTATCCTAATTAATTTCTGTGAAACTGGTTTAAACGTTAACCTACAGCTTTTCCTGGGCTAGAATTTTGCATGCAATTTTAATATATAATTGACACTATATATATATATATACCACGAAATATATACCTTCGTTTATGGAATAATTAATGAACTAAACTAAGCAAAAACTAGGATGCCATAGGCGATGAAAAATGTAAAAAGTGGTAGGAACTCAATTTTCTTTTATTTATTTATTATCTCTTTCATAATTAAATATCGTAACTACCACTAAGGCTTTCATTTGTTTTCAGCAGTAAATTGTAGTTGTTCTCAGGTCCCTTGTTATGCTGAACGTGGGCCTAGTGCTTAAATCTTGTTTCAGTACTTCCCTTACAAATGTACCGATTTTAATTTCTTTCATTTAAAAAAAATCAAAAATGTTACAAAAATCTCTATAAATTTTTTAAAATCTCACGTCTTTTAGAAATAAAGAAATTCTAAATTATGAATCTTGTACAGAATACTAATCGTGTTTTTTGAAAATGGGCAAGAACGGTTTATTTCTGATTATATTACTCATATAAATATAGTATAAGCATAAGAGATGAATAGTTTTTGTTCCATAATTTATTTAAAAATAAATTAAACTAATGATGTCATACAAAACGTAGAAATCAGCACATCAAATATTGATAATACTGTTAAGATAAATTATAAGACTCTTAGTGCCTCTTCAAACACTGTGGCATGATCCTAGGCCCCGTTGGGTCGCGTGATAATAAAGACCTGTTCTCATTATTTAATTTGATTAAATTATATGTGCATAACTCAAATTATGAAATGTAGTTAATACTACTGAAGTATAAAATATAGGTCTCTATTTAAGACAGAAGCGTTATTTATCAGTCTTTCTTAAAACAGGAATATTTGGCATAAAAACTAAAGCGAAAAAATGTTCACCGTTAAGTGTTAGAAAAATAATAGACGCCAAGACAATTCTCGGTACAATTCTTCTTCTTCACTGTTGATAGCAATGAACCATTTGCAAGCAGAAAACAGTAATTTGAACCTGTGAGTTTCTATTTTTAGCAGCGGGAATAAAATGTATCCTTAAAGATCTACAAAAAAACTCTTGAAAAAAGTTTCTTTTTTTTCACACTCCGAACTGTCTCTTATTCTTATAAACAGTGGTTAAAAAGAAAATCACCTATTTATCAGCATTATACCATTAGAAGGTTTATCGCAACAACGATTTTCTTGTCTAATTTAATATACAATGTACATACCTGCCAACTTTTACGCTTTTCAAATAAGTTTTTTCCTAATGGTAGGGTAAAGCAAATGAAATTTTGATTGTATGTTGGCGTTTTGTAAAAATTCAACTAACAATTAAAAACACTATCAGGGAGCTTAACATATATTCATGTTTAAATTTTTCAATTGTAATGGTTGTCAAAATTATTTTTTAAACCATATTTATTTAATGAAGAATAAAATGTGATTCTATAAATTTTGCCACCACATTAAATATAAAAATAATATCTTTTGGGGAAACCGGAAGAATATGTAACTGATGCAGTTAAACCTTTTGTTCTCTGAAAATTGTATGCGGTCTAGAATAGTAATTTTAAAAATATTACAAACTTCGTGAAATTTTTAGCATTAAGCGACACAAACAATTCCACTTAGTATACATAAATATGTAAACAATATGCACGATTATTTTTTAATTTTAGTGTTTTTCATACATAAAACGCATTTTTTTGTGACCGGGCTTTAACAGTTTAATATTGGTAAGAATTAAAATTGGAGCTCGATTTTTAAGTCAAAATTTTTTTTCCATGATTTTTAAATTGATTTTTATGTCAATCATTATTATTTAAAAAAAGTTAAAAAAAAAAAACAAATATTTCCACATCTTAAGAGGATGCCATACGGGAGAAGATTTTGGCCTAAAATTATCATTTGCTACTATCACTATACTAAACTGCAATGTTTCTTGACAATGGAGAAATATGCTGAGGGCAAACGAAGAAAATAGTTCCCGGCGCGATGTCTGTATTTCGAGGTAAATTACGCATTTCACAATAGAAATATGATAAGTTATCTTAACCCACACATATATAGCGTTAATTTGCTATAATTTTCTTAAAATTTTATTATTTTCAAATTTAAGAGCGGCGCATCGCGGAATGGTATCTTTATTTAGTTATATTTCTTCTATATAACGACTGAACTTATTTCTCCTTCTTCCTCCGCCAGCCGTGACNCTGCCAAGATGAGATAATATAGCGTGACCCACCGGTGGGTCTTCCCGGCGTGAACGTGTTAAAGTATAGAAAAAGTGAGTTCAAGCCTAGAGTAAGCCATGAAGTTTCAAATGCTACTTTAAAAAAGATTCAAAATATTAATATGTCAACAAATTATAGGAAGAGAACTTCGAAAATAGCTCTTTTAGTATTTGAAACTTCATGCTTAACCCCTTGGGGACGGGTGATTCAGAAAAGCATTCGTACAAAATCAGAATCAAGTTGCAATTAAATAAAAAACGGTAACTTAAATGTAGTCGTTGCTAATTTGACAGACTTACTTTGCTTTTATGTTAATTATTGTTAGTTTAATCATATATATAATCTATATTAATTCAAAGCGTAACTAAATAGTTTTATTTTGAACAAAGTATTGGTGAATTAAATAAATCAAAAAAGTTATAACTCCGCCCACAAATAAACCGCTAAAGAAATACTTTGATTACCAGTTTTATCTTCTTACCCTGATTGATACGGTTTTTTGCTGTCACATATTTGTGACAGTCGGCGCGAAAGGGTTAAGACTGAGTTTGCTTTAACGAACTTATTGTATAATTTCAAACACTTCTAAACCATTGTACCATTGTTCTATTTAAAGAGCAATCTTATTAACGTTGCGAAAATCTTCATAGTAGAAATTACAATTTGCATCGAAAGTTATATTTTATAATTTAAATTATATTTGTGTAGTGGTGGTTAAAATAATTTTAATTTTATAAACTAAAATTAAACTATATCTTTCGTTGATGCCATATGCTATAACTTTTATAGTATATCAATATCTAAAAAGGATGTAATTTTTGAGAATGTGAATAAATTTTATTAGGACCTTGTTAAATTTATTGATAGCAACGTTGTTTAATTATTGTTAGGTTTAAAATGACCGATTTTTTAAATACTGATGCATTGTGAACAATAGTAAACTTTTTATCGACAATAATTTCGTATTTATAGTTAGTAGCTGTCATATTCAACATCATTATTGATTAACGCAATTTTTATTTTATTTTTAAACGCTAAATTTTGGTAGCTCAAGGTTATTCTACCTTCCTCTGTTACCCGACATTTTAAGGCTATTAAAATATATAAATTAACTTTTCACTTTAGAATTACAAAAACATTTCAAAGGTTTTTGAATTCCTTTTAAATTGAATATTTTTTTTTTTGGCTGATAAGAATTTCAAAAATTTATAATTTTCTTCTATTTAGTAACCCCTTTAAAAAATTTCGAGATCGTAACAAACCAAATAGTATTATTTGAGTGCCAAGAAAAATAACAATGCGTATAAACCTAACACAATGTATTAAAAATTCAAGTAAAAATGCATACCTACATGGCTTATCCAACGCCTTCAATAACTGAAAGCCTCCACACGGTTTTTTATAGGTAGTCCGATCAGACCACTGAGATGAATATCCACTTTCCGAATGAGTCATTTAATACAAAATCTACTTAAAATAAGAAAGTGGTAGCAAATATATGACTGAAAATTTGTTTTATTTATGAATATTATTGGTTTGCATCATTCACTTGTCAACCACTACAGATTCAATTCTCAAATACATATGACACATTTCTCTCAAGTACTTGTATAAAAGGTTTTGGGATCATGCGCACAACTTGCTCACTTTTTAAATAGTCTGCGCGGACTACTTATAAAAGACCGTGCGGAGGCTTATCTTAGTGAGTAACAGTGGAAA